AGTTTAGTCTTTCATAGACAGGTATTCACGTTAAAACACATTGACTCCCCTCCTAGTTGGGATCTGCGGCGGTGTAAGCAGGTTTCAAACGGTCGATAGAAATGTTGATCGTTAATGTCGACGGTGAAGTATTCTTTATAGCGATGAATAACCTTGTAAGGCCCTTTGTATTTTTGATAGCGATGARTAAGGCCTTTTGTAAGGATTTGATAATGGTGGTCGTAAGGACAAGTCGCTGATGAAAATCTGGTCGCACGTTTTTAAATCTGTGTGCACAAAAGATTTCTGAGTGGTATGCCAAGACGTGTTGACCGGACGTAGGTCGCGCATTATTTGTCGCAACTGAGCAACAACTTCAGTCTCATTCTCTGGTATAGGAGAGTCGATGATGAATTTGGATGRCAAGCGTAGCGTCGTCCCAAAAACTAGCTCGGCTCGTGATGCTCCAATGTTCCTTGTCATGACAAATTAATTCTGACTTGAGAGTTCTGTACCAACGTTCGACGATCCCGTTGCTTTGTGGGTGGTAAGGCGTAGTTCGGAGGTGTTTAACACCGATACATTGGAGTAAATGTTGAAAAAGTGTGCATTTAAATTGGCGCCCTAGGTCTGACGTTATGTCGGTGGGGATTCCGAACCTCGATAAACAGCCGCTAATTATTGCTTTAGCTACTGTTGGTGCGGTGCTGTCCGGAATCGGGAAAGCATCTGGCCACCGGGTGAACGGTCGATTACTGTTAAACAGTAGCGATTACCCTCGGACAGCGGGAACGGTCCCACGATGTCAATGTGTAAATGGGCGAAGCGTTCGCTAACGCATGTTCGGCGTTGCAGAGGAGTGACGTTGTGTCTGGTGACCTTATTCCGTTGACAGCGTGGGCAATGTTTTGCAAAATTATGACTGTCGCGATGGCATCCGGGCCAGGTGAAACATTCGCTCATCATTTGATGTTGTACGTGAACCGGGGTGCGAAATGTTGTAGATTGTCCGAAGTACTGCTTGGCGGAATCGCTTGGTGATGATCGGTCGGATGCGATCGGTCGAAATATCACAGTATACCTTTTTTGTGCTGGAAGGAAGAGCGTACGAAACTAGTTTCAATGAATGCTTCACTTGCCCATTGAGATAGGATTGGAGCTCTTCGTCTGTCGCTTGATCGGTGGCCAAGTCGTCATAGTTGATTGATTGAAAAGTTGTTTCCGAGGTTATTGCTTCAATGCGAGACATCATATCGGCGACAACATTTTGTTGACCAGACACGTGACGGATGTATGTGGTGATTTGAGCGATAAAGTCTAGTTGTCGCGCTTGACGGTCCGAAGCCTTTTCTAGTATTTGATGGAATGCGAAAGTGAGAGGTTTGTGGTCTGTGTAGACGTGGCAATCTCGTCCTTCAAGCATAAAACGGAAATGTCGGATAGCGAGATACATAGTTGTGAGCTCCCTGTCGTAAGTACTGTATCGCTGTTCTGCTTTTGTAAATTTTCGCTGGAAGAAACCCACAGGTTGGAGCGTGTTGTTAGTCGGATGCGTCAATCCACAATGAAAGCTGCTCGTTGGGAGTGGGATGTGCTAGCAGCGTACATTTAGCTAGGTCCTCCTTACAGGCTTCGTAATGTTTTATATTTTCTTTGGTCCATATGAGAGGTGAGTGATCATTGCGCTTGTTGCCCGGAATCATGTTGAATAAAGGTGCTTGATRTAGAAGAGGATTTTGCAAAAAAGGTCTATAAAAATTTACCATGGCGAGGAACCGCTTTAGGTCTTTCGCAGTAGTTGGAAGTTTAAGATCTGTGATAGTCTTGACACGATTTGGCAATGGTTGTGTGCCGTCTTGGGTGATAAGATGCCCAAGGAATTCGAGTTCCGGTACTCCGAGTATCGACTTTGCGACGTTTATTGTCAAGTTGTGATCTCGCAATCGTTGAAATACGTTTTCAAGGTCTTTGCGGTGCTCCTCCGTTGAGGCAGAAGCTATGCAGATGTCATCCAAGTAGACGAAAGTATTATTTACTCCGCGAAGGACTTCATTGATAACCCTTTGAAATGTCTGTGCGGCGTTGCGTAATCCAAAGGTCATGTGAGTGAACTCGTACAGTCCGAAAGGGGTTGTAATGGCCGTTTTGCATACATCCTCTTCATGTACACAGATTTGGTGAAAAGCCTTCTGTAGGTCGATTTTTGAAAAAATAGTTTTGCCTGATAATATGTGCGTGAAGTCGTGGAGAAATGGAATTGATTACCTGTCCGGTACAATGACAGCATGCAAGGCACGGTAATCACCACATGGTCTCCAAGAACTATCTGCTTTGCGGACCATATGCAGGGGGCTCGACCAGTCGCTACTAGACGGCCGACATATGCCAAGTTTCATTAAGAGCTCGAATTCAGCTCGTGCTGCAGCAAGCTTCTCAGGTGATAACCGCCTTGGTCTGCTAAATACCGGTTGTCCGGACGTAATAATCCGGTGGACAAATGTAGATTTTGTTGAAACTTCTAGAGGAGGTTAATAAGTTATTTTCGGAAATTTTAACAAAATATCCTAAAATGGCATATTTACGTTGATAGTTGATATATTCGGTGTATTAATTGACTTTATCGAGCCCATTGTTTTTAACGCGGTGCGGCGGTCAAGTAGTCGATGGCGGTTGAGATCTGGTAGTAGATCGAAAACTGATAAGAAGTCTGCACCAATAATCGCCTGAGAAACGTCGGCAATTACGAACTTCCACACGAACTCTCTACGTAAGTTTAGATTCAATTTAAGTAGGACTTCACCAAATACTTGAATTGGTGAACCATTAGCAGCAAACCATTTGGTATCCGATTTAGATGCTTCAGCCAAGCTTGAACACTTCGGTATTGTCGACACCTCTGCGCCGGAGTCGATAAGGAAACTCATTTTTGCAGTGGTGTCGAATATGTGAAGGCGTTTGTTCGTAAGTTTTTCAGAACGTTTGCCTGATTCTGAAAAACAGTTGGCTGAGCAGGCCTAACTTGAGTCGGTTGGTGGCTGCGGATGAGCCATTTTGCACGGCTGTCTGCATTTACGGGCGTTACGACTAAATTTAGCGTGATACCAGTACATCTCGTTGGAGYTGTTGTGTGAGTTACGGATACCTGCCGGAGTCCTAGATCTAGAGCTAGGCAGAAGCCGATGTCCGTGGTCGCTTACTACTTGGTCGAGTCGTTGTTTGAGTGCTGCTATTTCGGCTCTCAGATCTTGATCGGTAGATTGTTGTACGGTGCACAATTCGCTGCAGTCTCCTTGGCGCAATTGAATGGACTCCGTAATTGAATCGGCGATCAACCTTTCGACGATTCGCACATTTGTAGCAATGATTGCCGCTTGCGTATATGTAGGTAACTGAGTGATCCACAGATCGTGAAGTATGCCCTCGCTTAACGTGGTTCCCGCGGCGCGCATCATCTCGTTGTAAAAGTCGCTTGGGCGCCGTTCGCCCAGTGGCATCTCGCGAAGTACACACTGCAGGCGTCGCTGCTGGCTTGCTGTAAAATATTCCGAATGTAGCAGTATTTATTCGTGCGCGGAGCAGCATCAACTATGGTACGCAGTTCCATTAACTTTGAAGGTGGGACGCTTGCCAAAACGATATTAAACTTTGTTATGTCAGCCACCATGCCCGTTGCATCGAATCAAAAGTTTAAAAAATAAAAATATGCCTCAATATTATCCTCTCGCATCTGGGGCAACGGCAGTCGTGGTACAAAATGCTGTGTTGTAGCATTTTCTAAGATGTTCCCTACTTCAGAAACAAATTGACTTTCGTCGAGACTCATAATAAAAAATTTAGAAAAATAGCAATTAAAAAATAAAAATGTGCGGGGTCACCAATGTGGAGGGTTCGTTTGGGCACGTCCTTCTACGACGAATTTCCAAAAAGAAAGAGAGCGATCTTCGCATTTTATTTGACATAAAGGTTTGACACAAAAGGAAAAGAAAATCATACATAGCGAAATGTCAAAGTAGCAGGTAGAGTTACCATGCTTAATACAATTATAATTAACTCCGAAATGAGTGGCGGTGCTGTCACATATAGTTCAATCAGGAGAACTTCCTCTTTCCAATGGTACCTTCGGATCGCGGCGCCAAAGAATCGTAATTGTGCCAAGCAAATCGCTAAAATTTCTCTTTTTCGAAATATCATTATTTATACTATTTGTTGAATTTTTAATAGAGAATATTTTAAAAAATATAAGTGTTAGCAACATTATTTTTGCATATAGTTTTGGTGTAATAAATTTCAAATGGGATACCAAAATATTGTTTGGTATTCCTCACTTATAAGTTTTATTTGTCACCCGGAATTAAAATTCAAGCTTCTTTGCTTAGCTCTTTATTCTTACTCTCTATTATAAATTTGGTTTCTTAAATCTAACTTACTGAGCATGCAGGCACTTCTATGTATGTATACGCTATATCTACTTAACTATCTAATTTTATAATGCATAAAAATGGAATTATTTGCTTGATCAGCAGAAATGATGTGTTTCTTAAGTGAATATTGTTTATTTATGTATGTATTCATGCAAACATGTGACTTCTCCACCCTTAGATTCAATAGTCTCCATTAAATAACTTTTTTTTTCATTTCAAAAGTCTGGAATACTGCAATGTTTTCTTATTATTACTATTAAGGACTATAAAAGTATAAAATTAGTACATCGTTTTTTTAAATTGTTGTTTGTTTTATTTGGTTCTTTGAACTTAACATTGGACCATTTATGGTATTGTTTTTCTTTTGTCTTTCTCATTTGAAGGAGAGTGAACTTGTAGTTCTACATTTACACGTGTATTTTTATTTGTTTTTTACCAATATTCCTATTGCTTTTAATAGTATTTTTAGTATGCTTATGCCATAATTTATATTTTTATTTCTTTTTCAATTCTTCCAATTTGTTCATACTTTTTCTTGGTTTACTATTATCTCTGAGAAAATATTTTTTTTGGTTTGGAATGTTTTATTTTTTTCTCAATTTTTCAATTAAAAAAGCTTATTAATGCATTTCCTTCCACTACAATTTCTCCATTCTCACAGTTTTGTTTCATTTCTATTTTGAATGCATTTTWAATTAGAATTGTATCGTCTTCGTTATCCTCGATTAATGTTACATAATGTTGGTATTTTTATAGCTAAGAGTAATGCGTATTTATATAAAAGGACCCCTGTTTTAATTTATTATTATCAATATTGAAAATTATAATATATTAGGTATATAGGGTAATATATTAGGTCATCAAGATAATCCCATCTTGCTCTTGCAAGATTGCAAAAATCCTATACCGAAATATACAAAGGCACGAGAGCACCCATTGCAGAATCTAGTGATATATTCATCTTCGGTGAATTTATTGTAAATGACTATTGTGAATTGGCGCACCGTCTGCATTCATTCTCAACAAAAAAAAACTGTAACAAATCTTTATAGTTTAAATAGAAATTATTAAATTTATTTAAAATTCACCTTCCTCAAGAATTTAACGCCAAAATATGTATTTAAGTAAAATGACTGCTAGCACAGGGTTGCAATAATATTTTTGCGTGACATTGTACGCAAATAAACATATATTTTGGTCTGACATATTTACAACCCTTGTAAATATTTTTTTGCATGTTTGTTGTTATGCCGTTATATTGGTGGAAAAATCTGTATTTCTTGCACCGGCAAGAAATTTTGTTTTGCTGAAGCTAGGTTTTCTTAAATTTGTTCAGTTTTACTTTCTAAATCTAAGCATCTATGATCGGAATAAAGCATGTGTTTTGTAATTTTCTCTTTTGATTTGTTTATTTTTTCAAAGGATTTTAGTATTTCTGTCCTATCGTCTTCTATGGTTTTTTTAATTTGTTAACGGATTTGTTGAAGTTGTCATTTATGTATATTGATTCACCGCTCCTATTATATTATGGTTATTTTTCTCTATTACTTCTAGATGTTGTAATATATTTTCCCTATCTTCATTGTACATTGTTCCGAAAAGCCCTTTGTACGTTGTAGGCATTAATATGTTTTTTTTTTGCTTTAATAGACTTTATTTCGTCGAATAACATTTCCCTGTCGATCCTGTTTTTCTAAGTTATCTTCAATTTTATTTATAACTTGTTTAAACTCTTTGGGGTGTATTATGTGTATTACCGTTGTTTCTCTGTCTCCATCATTCTAATCCTTTTTTTAGGGTGTTCCGATTGATTTTCCAGCTTGTTTATTTGTAAAAATCCGTTCATTGCCGTTATTATCGTTTAGAATATTGTAATTTTCGCGGTATTAATGCTGATTTTCGTTTCGTTTAACTTGATCTTAGTTTTGCAACGTGGCTTTTACCACCTTACAATAACTTACCTCACTATGATATTGAAAGCTGCTAGAGMCTTACATCATGTACCCGCACCATACGCACACAACTGWCCTCACTACGCTGTTGAAAGCTGCTAGAGCTTTCCACCATACGCATACTTACCTCGCTACGGTGACGAAAGCTGCGCAGTGCTGCTATATAAGCAAGCACTTCACATCGA